CTTACGCGGACGGAACCGGCAAAGTCATCAAGTAATGACAATAAAAAAACCCTCTTCACCACAAAACATTACGAGATTAACACTTACGCGGACGGACAATAAAAAAAAACCTGTTATAACCCATGTGGCTTATTTATTTTGGAGGCAAAAAAAAGGGAAACACTATGCACATGCGAAAATGCATGCGAAAACACTATGGGTACACCAAACAGAAGGTTTCATTTATTTGTATAAAACATCACTGTCTTTCATACCGTTTTTTATAAAGGATGACTCATATAATGGTAGCAATCTTGGCCGAATTAACTTTATATTTCTTTTCAAACTGTCAGGTGCCATGTCTGGTCTAAAGGACTCAGGTGACTCGGGTCAAAATGGCGGATACAGCTGTCTCAAAGTATACAGATACAGATCTATTATATACACCCGCAACCAATTGAATACAATCCAATGAATCGAGCCAACAGTTAGGCGGAGGAAAAGGATTATAATTACTAAGAATTCTTTCAAAATCTGTGTAATGCTCATTTTATTTATAAATTTCAAGTTACTTTAGCATTCACTTTAAAAGAAAGTATTTTGTATGTATATCTTTGTATAATCCATGCTTGTGCAAGTCAAATCGTTCCTTCGTTTCTCGCTTAACTCTCGTGCGAACATAAGACCGTTTCAACGAGCCACAAAGTGGGGTGTTTGTCGTATTTCTACGTTCATATCAAAGAAGATTATACACCCTTTGAATCAATATAATTAATATATTTCGTATACAAGCCAAAGTCATCTTACGTACTAACATAATACACGGCATTAAGCCCACAACACCGACTCATAGTATCTATAATTTGTAGTAGCTGATGATACGTCATATCTAATATGCAATTAGTTGACAATGGCTCATTCCTGTTGTAAGCAAGACATAGTATATGAGAAATTATGCAGTAAAGCTAAAACAGCACGCTCATCCGGACAAGGCTTATCTATGAAGCAGTATTGAATTAAGCAATAAGGAATGCCGCGATCTTCATGCGTTAGAGTCTTTGCATAAAATGATGTCAAGAGTAGATTAGATATGGATTTGATCAAGGGTCAAGAACTGTAGCTTGTATCAAAAAGGAAACCGAAGCCCTTGCCATTTCGTCTCAGCTTTCATGCATCGATCAGCTACAACAGGTATTTAAAGCGACTTCAATTCCTTGTTCTCAAAAGAGAAATTGATTCTTTTTTTTTTCTTATTATCTATTCAGAGAATAAAAATGTCTCAAAGTATCTCTTATGTGCTTTTATTTCTAATTTTGATAGTAAGGTTATTACAATCCCGTCTTCTTATAATCTAAATCGTTTCTAAATTAAAACTGCTTATTCACTGATTATTACAGTGTTCATAGCGTTTTCGCGTGTATATAAGAAAAAACAGGGTTATGCTATTTATAAAATAACATTCCTTGAGTCGTAGACGGCTTCTTAGAGTTCTTCTTTTAGACGGCACTTAGATTTGTACCTGACCAATTGTTGATCTGAGACCTGAAGTCTAGGCACAAACAGGAGGGAATTTATTTCGAGGAACCTTATTTAAGCTTTTAATGTAATAAACGGTAAGTTTCTACCCCTGTTCTATTGCTATATCATCGTGGAGCTTCATCTTGTCTTATTGTATTAACTGGTTCTCAACTTGTCTCAATGCAGCTTTACTGTCAACATTGGAACATAAATGCTTTACTGCAAAGACTATAAAGTTTATTAATCATTTCTAAGTCATATTTATTCCTTATGATGTAATTCTTCATAAGATCTAAAATAAACCTTGCCCACATAAGTGCTGCTGTTCAAGCTTTATTGCATAATTTATCATTTATTATGTCTAATTTATAACACTAGACAAACCATGCCTACATACAAAACTATGTACAATACTGAAGTATAAGAGAAGCATGTATCGATGAGTCTGTAATAATTTCTTTATTATGTTGAGAGTTCATCATTAAAAATAGTTTCATTTTATAAAAAACAAGATTATCCCATGAATATATCACGGCCAATGAGAATTAGGCATGATGCATCTATAAGAATAACGTATTTTGTGGTCAGTCTTTTCTTTTGCTTTTTTTCTTCAAAGAATGATAGTATTGGTATATATGCAAAAAAAAACAATTATATATGCGTCACAATAATTTTTTTTTCGCGTGTATTTTCGCGTGTATTTTCGCGTGTATTTTCGCGTGTATTTTCGCGTGTATTTTCGCGTGTATTTTCGCGTGTGCGTAGTGTTTTCCAAAAAAAAAAAATTTTTTTTTTTTTTTTTTTTGTTGCCACCATGTCAACGTCCGAATCTGACATTAATCCTCTTTATAAAGAAGGTACTGCTTTGTTGTAAGAATAAATGGCAAAAAAAAAAAACTAAAAGCACGCGAAACATTTATGAATTAGTGATATGTCCTGTACTTCTCAAACTTGCCGAAAATACAGATGAAATACACATGCAAGATGTTATTGATCAACTGGCAGACTACATCGTGGAAGAAACAGATCAATCGGCAACAACTGATATGATTAAAAGCTCATGGACAAAACGTTTTTTTCAGTCGGCGAAACTAACGAATGTTGTTCTTGTAAGTTTGGAAAAAGAAAAATAAAAGGAAAGTTGACAACAGCCACTTACTGTCTTTGCACAGCTAAAAGAAAATACATGCTGGGAACCTGTTGTTAAACGAATTCACGAAAAAGCCAGCAACAATAATAATAATGATCACGATAATAGCAATACCACCAGCAATACCACATCCTCCACCTCTTCTTCATCCACCTTGAAACGTTTATTGACAGAGGAAGACAAAGCAAATATCAAGAAAATGTTCAGCGCCTTGGATCCCGCCAAATTTTGGTATTTGAAAGCAACCTGCGATCAAGCTGCCAAGGACAATGTTGACCCTGAATCAGTCGAGGAAAAAATGAAACGATTTGCTCTTGAATGTGTATACCATCAGTGAGTCATTGAGAAAGACGTGCTTAGAAGAGGAGACACATTATTTGATCTTTATTCATTGATTGTTCTTTTTTTTTTTTTTTCTTAGTCCTTGTCAGTCTCTCATTCTGGATTTGGATGACAATCACTGGAATGACATTTTTTCTGAAGATGAATTGACTGAATTACATGAATATGGCAAACCTGTGCTTCGATCATTGCCTCAAGATTTGACGACTCAATTGGAATATATTGCACAATTGGTGAGTGGTTGAGCAAAAAACGACAGCAGATCATCGTGCTTACTTTCGCTTTTTCTTTTCTTTGACGACGTGATAGGATACACCAATGGACGCATATAGATTTGGAAATTCTTTGGAACATGATCCAGTGACGGAACCAATGATGGCTTGGCTTTCCCTAACCCTCTCGAATACTTCGTACCTGTTTCTTAAAAATGACGGTGATAGTATCCATTCATACTCTGAAACAGACAAATTATATCGACTTTGGGGGTTTATTAACACCATCTTCGATGGCTCTAACATCCGCGCAATCAGGTAAGTTAAATGACGATACGTAATGAATAATTTGCTCAAAAATGCAATGTTTTATTGTCGGCATTTAGCAAAGAAAAAAGCAGTGTTGCGAATTCCTTGGCTAAGAACAGCAAACGAAAATTATCAGCTGTAGAACAACTTAGCAACGTCAAAATGGGTCACAAAATGGATACAATATATGTCTCAGGCAATGTTGAACTTGGATGTCTGGAGATTAGTGGTGTTCCCTGCCAAACTAAAGCATGGCATGACAGCAGAATGAAAATGCCCTTTGTTATGAAAGATATGTTGATGAACATTGTAAAAAAGACGACAGTCAAGCTTGATGATATCCACATTGTAGGCTATAACATCAATAGTAAGTACTTTCATAAAAAAAAATGGCCATTCAAATTCGATAAATCAATGCTCACTGCGTTCATTCAACTTGAAGATGAAGAAATCAGACTCATGGACATGGATTCCCCAATGGGATATGTTACAAGAATTCGACGCCTAAATGAAATACCATACCCATCCAGCAGTGACGATTATATTACATGCATGATTCCTTTATTGCAGCTGGCTGCATTGGGAAAAGTCATCATGGAAGACACGCTCCACATCATCCATCATACTCCTCGATCCCTTACTGTTTCAAACTATCCTTCTGCCCGCCCTGTCTTGCCGTCTTGCTTTTTACCATCCTCACTAGCATCATCATCTAAAAAACCAAAAAATTAAATATAATTAGTCCTTTGTATGCAGAATATCCTTACATCTGTTATTTTGTCGGTATCAATTTTTCTCATATTTTAATTGAAAAGAAAAAACAAGTAGCCAATGATTTGAGTTAATGTGGCAAAATGAATGTCAGCTGAACAGAACGGCTTTTTTTCGTAGATGACTCGGTTCAACCATGCAGAGGCTATAAATGAACTTCAAGAACTAAGAACCACAAACGAACGCTGTTGTGAGAGAGTAGTTAGTTTGGCTCAGAGAATAATTGACGACAATTATATTTCAACATTAGGAGATCAAGGTATATTTGATAAAACACGTATTTACATGTACTCATTATTATCATTACCAGTTTGGCCCTTTTATGAACAAGCAGCTATAGCAGCCCTTGATGCTCAAAACTTTACACTTGCCAATGTAAGTTGTTTGTTTTTTTTAACTCAAGCATCGATTCACTGAAAAGTCACTTCGATTCCGTCGATTGTTGGGCATGCGATATGAAGCTCAAGGTTTATTGGATGAGGCACAAGAAGTTTATGATAGCATCTTGAAAGAAGATGAGACCAACTTGCTTGCTTCAAAGCGTCAAATCGCACTGTTAAAGGCGAGGCGTAAAGACCATGAACTGATGGAGGCATTGACAGCATATTTAGATACTTATTATGATGACTGTGAAGCATGGCTCGAATTATGTGAGACATATGCATCCAAGTACATGTACGAGCAAGCTGCCTTTTGCTGCCAAGAAATGATCCTCCTTCAACCTTCAAATCATATCTTTTATTTGAAATATGCTGAAATTTGTTATACAATGAATCAATATGAAATGGCATTAAAGTATTACTGTAAAGTACTCGAACTGTGTACGGATCATGTCAGAGCTCTCTATGGCTTACATTTGGTAAGTTCACAAAAGAAAAACGCCAACGTGTTACTCAATCGATTCTAGTGCACAACAATGCTGCAGAACAAACAGGAATTGAACCTATTGGCCACTGAACGTTTATTAGACGTATATAAACAAAAGCCGACACTAGCGATTGTACGGGACTATTTATCTGTATTAAAATAAAGTAAACAAGGTCATTTTATTTGTAAACGTGTCTTGCATGGTCATCATAGTTATCACTTCTTTGGTGCCCGCTCGGCAGATTACTACATCCGTTCTGCAGTCCAAGACAATCTTTTTAGCCCACTTTATTTTTCCTTGCATACCCCCAGTCACATCAGCCACTGCCAACTGAGCTGTCTCGATGTTTTGTAGCTCTTTTGTCACTTGTATACGAGGCACAATTTCAAAAGATTCGGGTTCTTGCTTCAGTTTGGGATCTGCTTTATAAATGCCGTCAACATCTGTGACGAATATACAACGAGCAATAGGCAGACATTTTGAAAGGTGATACAGAATGACATCCCCTGATAGAATGGTGCATCCTCTCATTTCGTCTAAAACGGCGTCACCATGTAGAACAGGGACGAAACCTAAGTCCAAATACTGTTTGGTGCGCGTGACTAGGCCTTGACTGAATCTTTCTGTGGGCGTTTCTTCAGCACCGTCCCAAGTTGTGATGTAGTCAATGGGAGTAATGGCCAGGACAGGCACATCACGTTCTTCCAGTTTTGTAATAATGGTCGTGTTCAATTGTTGTAAGCAAGCTCTAATATGACTAAACCCCTTTCGATAGTTATCATCAGGTAGTGATGTTTCCCAGCCTGCTTTCAATTGATACTGTTTTGCTTGAGGATGACCAAAACTACCAGCACCATGAATGAGAATGAGTTGATGACCCTGTGCCTGTAAGACGCGGTAGGCTTGTTCAACCTGATCTAAAAGATTGTTTAGGGATTGTCCATACTCACAAACATTCTTCTTGTTGGTAATAGCTGCACCACCCAATTTGACAGCAACAATCATAATTTTAAAAAGACGAAAGAAACGAGAAAAACACAGCTGCATGTTCACCTAGATACGACTTTAAGATTATTTTGGCAATCCCTGCAAAGACAAAACAATGACAGCAGATCTGTGTAACTGAAGATTTATTGTTTGTGAGCACTTGTTTGTACGCGTTATTGATAGAATTGGTTGTTTTTCTGGTCTTTTTTTTTTCGTGTACCAGTATTTATTTTATATGATGAACAAGTACATATATTGTATATATACATTATCAAGTTGGCTCTGGGGGATCAAAAATGCTGATAAGCATTGTTAATGAGTAACAGCACATGTATTTTGCAGTGAACTTGTGTTAAATTGCTCATCATAAGAGAGAGTACTCATTACTCAAATAACGTAAAAGAATGACAAGCTGAAGAGTGAAAATCTGTGTATCACAGTTGTGCTCAAAATGTAGTTTCATGTTTCTCTTTATTATCATTTGTATTTCTTTGTCTTTGAGATCGACAATAAGAGTCATTCATTGTTTTCCAATACTCTTGAAACTTTTGTCTAAATGAGACTTGATAATTAAGAAATGAATGTATTGTAGAATACTATCATTTATGTGGTTATAATCTTGCTACAAGAAGACGAAAAAAAAAAAAAAACACCAAGAATGCCATTTAGACGAGTTCAAGTATGTTAGTGAATTACCTACTTTAAAAACTGCAAGCTTGACCTCTTTTTTACTAACTGCCTCTACACGTCTGCAAAATTATCAAATAATCCATAACTACTAATATTAAGGTAAGTGGTTGTCGCTCTCTTACATGGTACGTATTTTAATAACGCTGTATATGGCATAGGTCTAAAAAGCTAAAGTTCAAGACTTATATCAACAAGCAAAAAGGAACTCAAGAAATTGTTAAAAGGCCCTTTGACAACAGCAAAAAGTATGGCACATCAAGTACAGTTGGCGCTAAAAACCAAAATCCAAACAAAAGCAAACATGTGCCTCTACCTTCTGCTGATCTCCATTCCTCCTCTCAACAGAAGCGAATCATTGCGTTCGGAAATGGTTCTTTTTGTTCAAGTATGAGAGGCAAACGAGCTGCACCTACTAGACGTAGTATTGAAGAAATCAAACGAAAATGCAAACAATCTAATGAGGGAACCGAATTTGTTTCGGTTGACGAATATTTAACGAGCCAGATCTGTAACAAGTGCAAACCCAAACAATTAAATAATATCTCCATTACTGGATCAAAGCGAAGAGTACACTCTGTCCTCAAGGGTGAATCTTGTGGTACGGTTTGGAATCGCGATGTGAACAGTGCATTAAATATATATGGTATCTTTGTTTACAAATCAAAACACGACAACGAAAGCTCTCCCCCTTCAAAAGACTAGCGGTGTTCCCTGGATTTAATGCTCTGTCTATAACGACAGTACATTTCTTAACGCCTCGGTAAGTATAAAATGAATAATGAATTGTTTTTTATTCATTAGTCTTCTAGTTATCCTTCGCTATTATTCAACAATGTAATCACTTGTAAGGAATAAAATCAGTCTTGTCTATATTATTGCCTACGCTTTAATGTTCCTTTGTTCTTGACTAATTAATACACATACATCCTTCTATTTCATATATTCGCCTGTACTTTACCCTTTTATTATTGGACTTGATTGTCATCAAGTATTAAAGTTTAGCCATAACCAAATTTGGTAACATTGTTCTGCGCCTTTTAAACACGCAGTCACTTTCAGCTTTCTTTATTTTGTTCCCAAAACTTTTTTCGTTTCTTTTCTCTCTTTTTTCGACAGAAGAAAAACTGATAATGACTCCAGACATTTGGACACAATTAAAGGTATTATTTTACTTAAAAATCCTCACTCATCTCTCAATAAACTTGTTCTAATATATAAATTTAGAACGAAATCCATAACAAGCTTGTGACTTATGAATATGTTGACGCGACAGGTAAAAAAAGGGAAGGATGTTAAAGCGTGATTCTAATTAGATAAAAAGACAACACTCTTTCAGATTTCATTGTTGGCCTAATGCGGGTTGGAAAAAATCCAGAAGAGTTGAGCAACGAACTTCAGTCCTGTAAGTTACATTAGCGCTTACTCATCACATAATACTAACTCATTTATGCTTTGTAGTAGTTGGATCTGACTATGGTGAGCAAAAAAGAACGTGCAATATACCAAATCTTACTGAGCTGTTTAATGTAGATCCAAATGTAACTCAATGGTTTTATGATCGTAAAAGAGCATTAGAGAATCCAGAAATACAGAAACCTACAGAACCTACCAAGACAATTGCACAGCCTGAGGTGCCAAAAGATACAGGGAATGAAAAGATCATATCCGAATCTCAACAAGAGACAGATGTTCAACCTGCTGCGGAGGCCTCAGACAAAGATGTAGCGGTAGACCAGAATGCCCCCTCAAAATCAATCAAATTAAACAAAGATAGTCGTATTTTCTCAAAGGCTATCGGAAGCGCACTTAATCTAACACCCGAGAGATCTTCAAGAGAACGTTTCACTCAGGAACGTCGTCGTGAACGCTCACGATCACCTTCGCCTGATCCTAAGAGATCACGTACAATGCTTCGTGATGATCGCCATAAAAACGAAGAAAGCAGGTCAAACGATGTATTTTCTAGATTAGGAGGCTCATCATCTACCAAAGAGGGTAAGTGTGGTAAATGACAGATAATTTGTTGTCATATGGTATTAATGATCGTAGCTCGTCTATCCGTCTTTGATCGTCTAGGTACAGTCAATCGTCTAGATACAGTCAATGATGTACCAGCTCCAAAGGAAGAAGATACTAAAAGTCAGAGGTGCAAATACTGGCCTACTTGTAAAAATGGAGAGGATTGCCCTTTTTTCCATCCTACCACAGTTTGCCCGTAAGCGAAAAAGTTATATAGTGATGATGTCAGCTTACCAACAAGCATTACTTAGGGACTTTCCAAACTGCCCAAATAAGCCCAACGAGTGTATGTTTATTCACCCAGAAACACATAAAAAGCCAGCTACAATGATTCAACCACAGTTTCCAGCTAAACTACCATACCCATGCAAGTTTTTCCCTTACTGTAATAATCCTGTATGTCCTTATATTCACCCTATCCCTCAGCAAGCATATTATATGCAAAGTCACTCATATGGACAACGTGTACCAGTCCCTTGCAAGAATGGCGATGATTGTACTAGGCCAAGTTGCCACTTCCTTCATCCAAAGGATCCTAACCCTTTTGCTGAGATTATTGTAAGTCATTTGTGTATGCTCTATTAGCATTCTAATATGAAGTATAGTGTAAATATGATGGAGCTTGTACAAGACCAAACTGCCTTTACAAGCATACAAAAGAAAATCCCAAGAACAAGGTCCTTATTAGCAAACCAGATACAACCAATCGTCAATTCTCTGTACCTGAAGATCAGATTGAGGAGCGTATTATAGTAGGTGAAAGTGCTGATATCATCAAACCAGAGACACAGCAACAAGAACGAACGAAACTAACACAGCCGAATGAAACTAATGGTGATATGTCATCGAGCATGGAGTTGGATGCAGATGCTGTAACTGATGCGCAATAAATACAAGGCTATTACATTCTTTAGTGAATTATTCTACATGAACATAAAATAATCAACTTTAGAAAACTATTAGTTATATTGTGACACAGTTGATAGATACAATGTTACCAAGTGTGTTCTGTGAGAGATAAACCATAAGAATAAGAGTATGTGTATGTCAGTCTACCTCAAACAGATCTTGTATTGTTTTACAAAGACAATTTTAGCTATTTACGTCTCTTTGAGAAAAGTCCTTGTGCTAGCTCTTGAGTAAAAGCGATAGGATGCTTACTCTGGCTTAGGAAAGAATCAAACTGCAGCTTTATTGAAACTAAAGTGCACTAATACACCACAGTATTGTCTCTCAAAATCCAACTGAACAATTCAATATGTTCATTCAGTCAGGATATTGAATTGACGACTTTCCAAAGAGGATGTCAATGTTTACAAAAGATTAACAGCCACATGTACACAGTCCCATCTGAAGAGTCCAAGGAGACAGGTGTTGTCTTCTGTGTCCTTCTTTCCTCTTGGTATACTTTACTCTCATGAAGTTATGTGACATTTATGTCCCTATATGTGGAAAGCAGCAAAGGATCAGTTGATAATATTTAAGTGGAAAGAAGGACAGCTAAATGTGGGTGCGAACTGAGTATATACGAAAGGTGACGACTACAAATATCTTTCAAGCCTGTATCCTGCACCACAACAAATAGGTTGTGCCATCACAGCATTATCAATAGATATTTGTAGTAATCGTTACTCGGTTAGGAGTTCTTCCATATATGACATATCATATATGAGCTTACTCTTTACAATGCTTAATTAAATGTCTGTGCTCTAACTTCCAGATCAACGGTTCCTTATTCGATAAGACATTATCAGATCATGTATCACCTCATCAACAAGGCACCTCGAACATACATCGAACCAATAGTTAATACTAGTTAGGTTCTTCCCAGTTATTCCCATTGTAGCTGGACGCTTATAGGTACGCCCACGATATCCAATTATCATTATTGTTGATTGTAGATGTTAAAAAGTATAAATACTATTGTTTTATTCATCGTAAATAAAGACGCCATATATATTTCAGCCTCACTGACTTATTGTCCTTTTTTATTCTTCTTATTATTACTAGCTTTTGTCTCTTACCTTTGTATCTAGCAAAACAGCTTTAAAATAAAAGGGGAGCTCTTGCTTTTGTATAGAAATTAGTCATTACTTGCGAAAACACTAGAAGATTCGAGCCTCTTCTATTTTCCCATTCATATAAGAATTAGTCTTATCAACCGTTTTAAAATTAATGATGTGGATCAACACATGACAACGTTTACACACAGAGGTGCACATTATCATCATGTTGGTGCTCCATTTGGAATTAAAACACTGACAAGCAAATTCTCTCGTGTGATGGATGTTGTCCTTAAAGACATGAAGTCATTTTTTAGACACTTTGTTGATGATGTATGTATCTTTAGTCATTTTGTTGAAGAACACTTTAGTCATGTGAAAAGAGTCATACAGGCTCTCACAAAAGCTGGTTTAATCCTTAATCCTGACAAGTGTCATATCGGAATGCGTTCTACCTACTTACTTGGTTTCTGCATATCTGAGAAGGGGCGTTTTCTTGATCTCAGAAAATTGAGCTATTTGCAAGAATATCCAAAACCTACAACGGGAAAACAGATCCAACGCTTTCTAGGATTGATCAACTATTTCCGTGATCATCTACCTCTGGCTGCACATCTCACTGCACTTTTAGACGCTCTACGTCATCTTGAAAAATCCAAAACTATCACTTGGAACAAGAAACTCAAGGCGCACTTCGAAGCCATGAAATCCATCCTGGTGTGCAATATTGTACTTAAACCTGTTGACACTACTAAACCTTTACACGTCATTACTGATGCATCCAGCTACGGCATTGGCGCTGCTCTATATCAAGAGGATATCAATAATGGCGGTGGTAAACAGACTACGTGTATTACCTATAATGGTTTTATGGCTCGCTCATTATCTACATCTGAGCGTAATTATTCTACCACTAAACGTGAACTCCTAGCAATTATATTTGCGTTGAAGAAATTCCACAAGTTCTTGTATGGACGACATTTCACTGTTCATACTGACCACAAAAGCCTAACATATCTGTTCACACAAAAAACTGTAAATCCAATGATGATCAGCTGGATGAATAAATTAATGAGCTATGACTTTGACGTCGTGTACGTTCCAGGTATCCTCAACATTCTTAGTGATAAACTATCTCGAATATTCCAAACTATCATGGAACTGGAGGGGGGGTGATGAGCTCTCTTTGTTGTACCCACGTTACTATTCAGTGCTTAAATACAACATCTAGAGCTGAACCTAATGTTACTATAACATCTGTTACATCTTAATCAAATATAGTCAACTCAGTTTATATACCTCAGCTTCTTAATATATAATTATAGTTTGTGCTATCATCCCTTTTCTCTCTATTTTATTTTGAATAAAGATACAACACAGTCTCATCGTATTTTCTACTTTGTTTAAATTTATCCAAAACTCAAATACAACACTCTCAAAATCATGCATTACAAAAAAAGAAGCTTGGCAAGGAAAAAGAAAAGAAGAAAACCATAAAAGTGTTCTATATTCAAAACCCGAAGAAATTCACTGATAAGGGTTATATCATTCCTGAAGAAAAGGATAAAAAAGACATTCTAGATGAAGCACACAAGTTTGGTCGCTTTGGTGCTGATCGTATTGTCAAGCACATACATAACTTAGACATGCATTGACCGATTCTATTGGCAAATGCAGTACAGAACGTCAGTCAATGCCCTACTTGCCAAAAGTACAATGTACATAAAAGAGGCTATAATCCTCAGAAACCTGTTTACAGCTACATGCCTGGTGATTCTTACGCCATGGATCTGACCATACTATTTAAGTCTAATGGTGGGTAATATACGTTCCTATTGATTGAAGTTGATATATGTACAAGGTTTGTTATCTTAGAACCGCTAGTTCATAAAACCGTTAAATGTGCAGCTATGGCACTTATAAAGATATTCTCACTCTTGGGGCATCCAAGGCACTTTACTATTTCAGATAATAGAACTGAATTCAAGAATGAGCTGATCAATAGCATGATCAAGCTCATGACGATTGATAAACGGTATATAACAGCTTATCATTCAGCTAGAAATCTTAATGAGAAATTTGTATAAAGTACAGTAAAGGTATTGGCAAAGATCGTGGAGGATAATGGTGGATATTGGCATTATTATGTTCCTGCAGTGCAATTGATGCTAAATAACAAAGTATCCAAGAGATTGAACTCTACTCTTTTTTCACTCATGTTCGTACGAAGGATGAATGATATTAAACGTTACGACGATAAAGGCGAAATCAAAGAAATGTCTATGACTCACGAAGAATTGATGAATAGAATCGACTATATGTCTAACATCATATTTCCAGCTATTGCTGAACGCATTAAAGCATATACTGATATACAGAAAGGTATTGCTGATAAGAAACATTGGATTATTGACTATCCAGAAAGAAGTTATGTTATGGTTAGAGTAAGGGATAGATATAACAACTTAACACCTGCCTACCAAGGACCATACAGTGTTGTAAGAAAAACGACAGGTGGTTCATATGTACTGAAAGACGAAGAAGGCATTCTAATATCAAGGAATTATTCGCCCGAAGAATTAAAGTCAATTTCTCAAGGAGAGTACCTGAAGATGAACTATATGTCATTGGAGCAATTATTGATCACAGAGGCGAACCAGGTAACAGAAAGTATCTCGTACGCTGGAAGAAGTATACAAAGGATGACGATTCCTGGATTCCATCCGAAAACTTAACTGATCCTGAGGTGTTCAGTGAATACTGGAGAAGATTAGGCATTAAACCTTCTAAAGAACAATTACAGAAAGAAAGCGAAAAATACTCGCCTCCAAAGACTTACAAAAAGACAAAACTGCTAAAAGAAATCCAAACTATGGATGACGTAGACGTGACCGTCAAGTCTACAAAAGAATCAGAGACATGTCAGTATAAACAACTCTCTTCAACAAAATCAAGCCACCTGACAAAAGTGGCACTCAAGCTATTTCATCACCTCAAATGAAATCCTCTCAACGTTCTATTCCGTCCCAACCTGTTTTGTACTCTAGAGTACATAACAATCGCAGTAAAGTTCAGGAAAGTTTACTCTCTTGTCCTCCGGAAAAGTTCAGCTCCCGATCTTCTACATCTCATGATCCAGATGACATGGATCCCATCGTTATTGAAACTGTTTACTGGGGAGTATCTCAGTCCCCTGGTTCTTTATTTTTCGACGTTACTTGTCGCAAGGAATCCGACAAGGATCTCTACAAACTGGCCTTTGATCAGTTTGATGATTTTGTTGGACAATTAGTTCATCGTTCTGGAACAAACAGATACTTGGAGGTCAATTTCAGTATTGACAGACATCGCTCCTATGCTTTTGATACTGGTTTGAAATTTGATAAAGGCAAGATGGTCGTTAAGCCTGCACACGCCATGGCAACTGGCTCCATTCTAAAAAAAGTGAGCCTTCAACGTTTACCTTGGCTTAGACCAAAAGAGCTTCTTGCTGGCTTAACTGCCACACTCAGTAACTATGGTGTTGTCAAGGACAATGCCACAGGCACTTTCTTGAGTTCTGGATACGCAGTCCTCGATGTATCAAAGCAATCACTTGCTCAAGATGAGGCCCCCTTTTTGGATCTCTCTCATGTGACTACCTGGGTTGATCCGGACGCCTCTTGTTCAGGCAAAATGTTTATTTTGGCCTATTGGAATGGTATGCCTACCTATTGTAAATATTGTCATGAATCTGGTCATATCGCTTCCAGTTGCCCTAAATCCCCTAGCGGCAAACGTGTCTGCTTCCTCTGTCTCAAACGTGGTCATGTTCGGGCCGATTGTCCTGAACGCACATCCACTGCTAAGCGACGCCGTAATGGTCGCTCTGTAGCACGCCCGTCCTCTTCAACTCAGCCTGCTTCAAGCGACACTGAGATCACAACGTCAGAAATATCAAGTGGTGAAAAGGATGATTCGATAATTACTCCTAAGTCTCAAGAGATCATCATAGTGCAGGACCAACACTCAGAGATCACTGAGGCATCTGATCTACCTGTACATAATCCCTCGCACTTGCATTCCAAATATGTCAATGTTGAGCCTTCTAGACAATCTACGGCAGGGATTGACCATAATTCTCTCATTTCTACCTCTCGATCGTCTTATCCTCCCTCGGATACTGCAGAGGTTTACTCTGATGCTGAAATGGATGAGGCCCACCAGTCTTCTGAGAGTTTAGAAGAATCTGATGAAGCACCCTCTAGTGATACAGAAATGAATGAAATCCACAATGACTCTAAAGTACCAGTTTCCAAGTCTTCTACACCAGGTGTTTCTGTTCATCGTAGCGGTCGCAATCGGAACGCTCCGGACAATCTGAATCTTTAATCTTATTATTATGATATATAATAATCGCAAGGCATTCAAGTTACTATCTTTGAATGGCAATAGTTTTTTCAAAGTTAGTAAACCATCTACACAAAAACAATTTATACAACACATTCGATCCTATAATCCCACATTTGTTGCTCTGCAAGAAGTGGACAATAGTGATAACCCTTCCTCACATTTTGATTTACTACATCAACAGTTTGTTTGTCATCAAAGCTTATGGACTCAATATTGTGGTCTAGTTTGTTTTGACCCTTCATTTTCAATTACACGTATCCCTATCCCAGAGGATGCCAGATGTCTTCTGGCTCCAGTTACGTACATAAACGATTTTATAAGCCTTTCTTTATTCTTGTTATTTACGCTCCGGCGAATTTAACAAGAGAAAGGCGTGAATTTTTCGAACGACCCTTACAGTTTCAGCAATTGGATCCATATGATGACAGGTCTTGTGTTGACCGTCTTGTGATTGCAGGCGATTTCAACTTTACAATACAGTCGTCTCAATCTTCATCTTCCTACCGAAATTGGATTCAACTTCTCAGCAGTCATTTCCAGAACGTTATGTCTGATCTTCGTGATTTACACACCCCCACTTTTCGTAGAGGCGCAGTTACCAGATCAACGGTAGACTATTTATCTACTACCTTATCCGCCAATTACATCGATGCTACAGTTGACTTTGTCGACCTTGAATGGTCAGATCATGCTATCCTTGCAGTTGAATTAAAGCTTGACTTGGCTGATTCTCACGGTCCAGGCGCTTGGAGAGCCAACCCGATATATCTGGGACATAAGGACTTCCGTCGCCGTCTTGCTAATATGCTAACAGAGCTTTACCACTCAGAAATCGCGCATTCTCGCTCTTCGCAAATATTATGGGACGTGGTCAAAGCTCGCGTAAAAGAATTTACTCGGAAATATGGTCGCTCATACGTCAGTTGGCGCTCCCAACAGATTAAGCGTTTACAAAAGAAATGTCACCGTATTCTTCAAAGTTCATTGCCTGAAGGGATATTAGTCGAGCATCTACCACGGGTCGAACGACAGATTGCCTTTCTTCAGCATGAGCTTGTTGAAATTAAGGCTCTCAAGGCAGAGAAAACCTGGCGAGAACATGGGGGAACCGAAGCAGGATATCTTAAGAAATCTGCATCAGTTAGATCCGCTCAAAGGTCGATTCTTCAACTTTGAGACCCTTCCCGGGATGAATTTTCTTCCTCTCAGGATGATCTCTTGCGCATTTCAAGTGATTCCTACCAACATTTGTTTTCAGCTGAACCGGTAAGTGATGCATCGATTGATAACATGCTAGCGCATATTCCTACGGACTGCAAGCTTTCACAGGCTGCGCAAGATAGTCTGTCTTGCTCAATTGACCTGGATGATATCTTAGAGCAATCAAAGAGGGCTCCTAAACAAAGTAGTCCTGGCTCTGATGGTCTTTCGTATGGTTTCCTGCGGTTAATCTTCAATCACCCAGACTATTCCCAACTTGTCGGCCAAGTGTACAACGATGCTTTGACTCGCTCAATTTTTCCTGTATCGTGGCTTCAAACATCTGTATGTCTTCTTCCGAAGAAAGGTGACTTACGGTATCTTTCAAATTGGAGACCAATCACACTGATTAATTGTGATGCAAAGATATTCACCCGATTATTGAACAACCGTTTAAGGGAGGTCGTTTCTCCTTTGATTTGCCCTTTTCAAACTGGTTTTATGCAAGGAAGATTTATTGCCGACAATGGCCTTTTAACACAAATTGCTATAGAGCAAGCTTCTTTCCGGTCCTCCTCGGAAGCTGGTCTGCTGTGCGACCAAGAAAAAGCTTATGATCGAGTGCATCCTGTGTATCTTCGCTCTGCCCTTCAGGCTTTTGGTTTGCCCTCCGTTTTTATCTCTGCTGTTTGCTCTCTCTTCTTTGGTACAACCATGAAAGTCAACGTTAATGGGTACTTCTCGCCACCTATACAACTAGGACGTGGTTTACGCCAAGGAGATCCCATCAGCCCTCTTTTGTTCAACTTAGTAATGGAGCCCTTGGTTAAATCCATTGTTTATTCTCAACGAATTCGTGGTTTTGCTTTTCCTTCGGTCGACGTTATGGAGGGCTTTTCCTTACAGAACCGCCTTTCAGTCCCTTCGGAAATCAAAGTCCTAGCATATGCAGATGACCTTTTGATTTTCCTTGCCGATCAACATGATCTTCAGGAGGTTCAATCCCTCATTGGCAATGTTGGCAAAACGAAGGCAGAGGATGTGGTTAAAGGCTTTCTAGCCGCGCTTTTATTCTCAGATTTATTATATAAAAAAATTTTTAAGCTTCTATTATCCTTTATATCTTTCAAAGTTGTAACTTGATTTTTGAAACCCTGGTGGCAAGGGTGGGATTAGGTAAACCATCGGCGGTACCAAGGGCGGGTAGCCACCACATCCTCTGTCTTCGTTTCGCCAACATTGCCATTGTGTGTCGTGCCTAACACAATTGCCGTTGGCTTCACTCCGACTTCGGATGTGGTTCGGTTTTCAGTAGCGTTTTCAAAAATCTTTGTTGTGAGGATATGCCCACGCTGGTGTTGATCTCTTGGCTTGTAGTAGTATTTTTCCAAAGTGTCGCTATTGAGGCTCCAATTTGCATGCATCTTAACTGAATGAATTGAAGCTCCCTTGGAAATGGCTGATGTACTTGCTGCTGATCTAAGCGAATGTGCCTTGAACTTCTTCATATCAATTCCTGCTTGTTGTAAGTGATGTTTGATCCAGTTGGCCACAGTAATAGGTGAAATTGACTTGATTTTATCGCTGGACTCTAGTATATTCCCCAAGAACAGTGTATGGTCTTCCGCCAGGTGATATCGAAGGTGTTTGGTGCTTTCACAGAAATACCAGAGATGGTATACAGGGCATAGCTCTTTACTATTCAGAGCTCCTAGTTTAGATGACTTGCTTTCGATCTCTTTGGGTGATCTTGCAATAACTGTTGTACCAACCAGAGTTCCTGTGGTGTCATACTGGAAATGGACATCTCTAAATTGTAGCTTGCCTATATTGGAGCGAGGTCTCCACATAGTTGCCATTGTCACCAAAAGTAAGGTCTTCTGCTGAAGCTTGTCCAAGGGGAGAGAGTTAGTTGTGCCCCAACCTATGATCATTGTAATAATAGGCTGAAGGTCATATATTTCTTGATTACTATTGGGAAGTCTACAACTCTTTCTTCGTTTTGCTTGGAAGAATTGAAGAATGAACAAGTTAGACGCAATAGCTGGTTTTTCTGGATGAATGACCTTGAAGGCTGAGGCAATTGCTGATTGCATACAGTTTAGTTGCTGAATCGATAGTTCTTTGTGTTGTGTCAAGAACTCTACTATTCTAATTGGCTTATATCCCAAAGGATCTTGACTTGGTTGTTGGTTAACACACCATGTAGCCCATCGCTTCCATTGTATATCATAGTTCTTGTGAGTGTTGCTGTTGTTGGAAGCTTGAAGGTAGTTGATAGTGTTCTCATCCAGTAGTGCTTGTTCTATTTGATACGCCCTGATAACAGCCATGCGGTCAAGGACCATTGCCTGCATAACTTGAATGTTATTGGCATCGTCAGGCTTTGTTGTAGAACCATTGGCCACCAGTATTGGCTCTTCCAACTCGGCGTGATAAGAACCGCTTTCTTTACTCGGTCGGCTTTCAACTTCCTTAATACTTTTGGAATGAACTTCCAAGGTGGGTGCAAATACAAACCTGTTTTCATCCAGCGTTGGTTCCAGGCGTTGGTTGCTTCTGCTTGTGGATCCGGATTTTGGCTCCAAAACCGAGGTAATCTCGTATTCTCTCTAGTAGCGAATGCATCCAGTTGTAGAGGTCCCCATGTTCCTTGGGTCATCTTGAAAAAACGTCTTGGCAGCTTCCATTCGTATAGTGGCTTTTCCTTTCGACTTAGCTGATCGGCTTTTACGTTCTTTATTCCTTGTATATGCTGATACTGTACCTGCATATTGTGTTTCGCTGTGACTTCTTGAATGTCGAGCGCGAGTTCTTGTAGCCACGGGGAGGCTGTCCCTCCTGACTTTCTTGCGTACTTGAGGGCTGTGATATTGTCTGAGAATATCTTGATCACCGCCCCTCCGTACTCTCTTGCGTGGAGTTTGAGTGCAAATAGAATCGTCTTCAGCTCTCTCACGTTGATGGACTGTTCTTTTTCGTGTGGTATCCAGAACCCTGATGTTTCTACATGGGGAGACGCTACACCCCATCCCGTGTCTGAGGCATCCACAAAGATTTCCACCTCTGGTTCCTTCACTGATTGAGAGAATGTGATCGGTAATCCATTGAGTTGACTTGTCTTCTCCGTCCACCATTGTAATTCCTTCCAGCTCTCTGGAGATAGTTGGCAAGGTTTTTCCCAATTCTGATACTGTTGACGAAGACTTTTTGCAAGGTCCCGCTGAAGGTATCTGGCATGTAGTAGAGCTTCTCCAATTGCTAGGATCATGGATGTCATCTTGCCCAATAGACTCGCAATCCACCTGCATGAGTATGCAGTCTTCTTCTTCTGTAATTGTCTGATCCGTGTGGCTAATTTCGATAATTTTACTTGCGGTACACTGATCTTCATGGTCTTGGTGTTGAATGTGAATCCCAGAAAATCTTGTGTATGCTTGGGTTCCAAATCGCTCTTCTCGTAGTTGATTAAAAACCCCAATTTGGTCAGTTGCTGTAAAACCATTTGACTGCGAATCCTCATTTCGTCCTTGGGTTTCGCTAGTACACAGATATCGTCCAGATAATAGACTAGCCGGATACCCGCTGCTCTCAAAGGCTCTAACGCATGACGCATTAATTTCGAAAACACCCTCGGGGCAACACTCAGACCGAACGCCAAAGACTTGTATTGGTAAACTGTGCCCTTGTGAAGAAATGAGAGAAATTTTCGAGATTCTGGGTGAATTGGTACCACGATGTAAGCATCTTTTAGATCGATCTTTGTCAAAAAATCGTTCGGCTCTATAATTTCTCGCAAGGCAGGTACTCCTTCCATCTTGAAGTGGTTGCACTGAATAAATTGGTTGATCTTCCTGCAATCCAAAATTGGTCGGATCTTGTTCGGTTTCTTGATTGTAAAGAACTGTGAGAGGAAACGGTTGTCTTGCGTAGGTGAGCGTTCGATTACCTTCGAAGTCAAAAAGGATTCGACTACGTTGTCTACTGCAGCCTGGTCCAATCCTGACAAGCGAAATTCCTTTGTCGTCCATGGTACTGGTGTCGAGTTGAACTGGATCTTGTAACCCTCTTGGATAACGGATAAGGGCCACGTATGTGTTGTCTCTTCCTTCCAGTTTTGCAAAAACTGTTGGAGTCTGCTCCCTGGAGGTATCCCATCCTCTGGAATGGAGTAATGGGGTGTCGCTGTTACTTTTTTTGGAATTTTCTGTATTTTTTGTTGTTTTTCTAAGATTTTCTGTATTTTTTCTATAGTTGGCAATTGAGTTGGAATTATGCTCAATTGCTGGGTTGAGACTGTTGTCTGTCGATCTGTGAAACGTGGCTTGGCGTCGTGTGACTCCGTTGCCAATCTCTTGATCTTCCTCGTCCAAAAAAACTTCCTCTGTTTCCATTGGGTTGTCGCCCTCCTCGAGTGAACTTGTTCTTGCCAAAGCCACCATATTTTCGTTGGCTTGCTTGATTGATAACTGATTCCTCAAATCTGGTTTGTTGGGTTTTTTCAATGACTTCGGAGGAGAAGAAGTAATCTTTTCCTTCGTCGTCATCATCTTCGAGGTATTTGAGGCTTTCGGGGAGTCTAAGTGCCTTCGTGGTGAGATCCTTGGTATCCTTGGCATCCTTGTCCAACTCTTTCCCCGTTCCAAACTGGTACACTGCAAGACGTCTGATCCGTTCAAGGATGTTACGCATGTCGTCTTCTGTACCACCAATCTCGATGAGATGTTGGAACTCTTGGTAGATCTCTGTTGTTGCTCGGCCGGCTGTGCGCAGGCGATCTGCTCCTTTGGTAATGGCCGTAGTCGTTTGAGCGGCATCCACTTGGTATTTCTTAAGTTCGGGAAGGTAGACTTTGTTGACCGTTCCTGATTGTGTCCATTTTCCTCCATCGTACTTGTATGTGTCTTTAGCGGACTTTTTGAGTTTGTTCCTGAGTACAGTCTTGGAAGTGGTTTCCAAATCGTCAAAGATTTCTTCTAGGAGGACTTGGAGGTCAATGGATTCGTCTCTGATCTCCTGTTCTTTGAGTCGCTTGCTGAGATCGAGAAGTTCTTGAATTTGTTCTGTAGTGAGTTCATTTATATTTTCCATAGTTGATCCACGGTGCGCGGCTTTGAAAGCTATAAAGGATAATAGAAGCTTAAAATTTTTTTTATATAATAAATCTGAGAATAAAAGCGCGGCTAGAAAGCCTTTAACCACATCCGAAGTCAGAGTGAAGCCAACGGCAATTGTGTTAGGCACAACGCACAATCACAGACTGTCATTATCCAAACGAGTCAACTGCTGAGATTAAAATAAAACAATTCTAAATAGTGCCAAGCACTCATAGAATATGTGGCCTTGACTTTTACTTAACAAATATTTCTTCATTTCATTACAAGATTAGATGCTTCTAAAGAAATCAGAGAAAAGGTTAGAACAGACTGAAGAAAAAGTTATGTAACACTGCAAATATTATGATCTTGACACTGTTTGTGAAGCCATTTGGTCATTTATTTATTTATTAATCTTTTTTTTTCGAATTCCTCTCTTTCTTTTCACATTCCCCGCTTCTCATTCATTTTTGAATTATTGGAACGTTGAATCGCTGGATTACTCGATTACTGGATTATTGGATTATTAGGCTACTGGGTTACTGGATGGTAAATTATAAGCTGCTGCTTGTCTAGGATTTGCTTTAACTGATACATTTCTGTACTTGCAGGATAAGGGCAACAACAACCAGCGCGCATCCAGTCAACAATTCAACCAGCCGCTCAGCGTACAGCTCAACACATAGTTCAACACCCGTCTTGTCGTAGAACAATGTCTGCTTAAGGGCTGACTGTTGTATTTAGCTTTAGTGCTATTGAAAAAAGGCTATTAAGTCGATGACTTGCGAATTAGATTCTTTATTAA